CCCAAAAAAGCCATAAAAAGGCCCTCCCCTGTTGTAACATCGTCCTGCTCAGCAGAGGAGAGCGCTTTGCCAAGAAAGACACTGCTGATTTGGTACAAGGGCTTTTATTTGACTTTTACGGAGACGAGCGCGTTCACGCGATGCTCCCTGCGTTGGAGGCGATCCTGGGCCACAGATCCGCGCACTCCTTGGCCACAGGGCCTGTGATCGCAGAGCCTGGGAAAGAGAAAACACGGCGGCACATCAGAGCAGTGAGCAGGGGCAGAGACGGCTCAGGGCAGCATTTTACACAAACGCTACCCAATTTTGAGGGGAATCTGGGTCTTTCTGCCCACCCCTCTCTGTGTTCCCCCCCTTGCCCAGCGCACCCCGGTTCTCATCCGTACCTTTCATTTCTCCTTTATTATTTACAATCACTCCTGCGTTGTCTTCGAAGTAGAGGAACACGCCGTCTTTTCTCCTGTACGATTTCCGCTGCCGAATGACCACCGCTGGGTGGACTGAGGAGAGAGAAACACAGCTCGGTATCACAAGCATCCTTGTAAACACAAAGTTCACCAGCAAATACCCCAGGGAACTGCTCTGCCGCAGCAGCAAACGCAACGCACAGGTTTGGGATTTCACGAGGACAATTTGGTGTCTGTCCACATCCATGTCCATTTAAATAAACTATCACTTCACACACAATATTTAGCAAAAACTCCGCCGTCTCCAGAGCAGCAGCAAGCTTTCTTTGCCGCAGCCCAATGTCACACCACTGATTGAAATAAACAGCACGAGCTGCCACTTCACCCAAAAGCGATGCCTTTGCTCTGCCCTTCCACGACAACTCACTGAGCCACTGCACGCAGACCCAGCGAGTGCTTTTTAGAAGGGCTTGAGAGATTCGGTGCCAATTCGTGGGTGGAACCATCCTCCCCATCAACGAGCAGCCTCTGCCTCTCTCTCCCTCGAAGGGGGGACGCAGCAGGAGCTGCCCCTTGGCGCAGCGGGACTCTCCACACTCACCCTTTTTCCTCAGCTCTGGTTTGCCCTTCTTGACCGTGGCCATCACCATGTCACCCACACCGGCTGCCGGCAGCCTGTTCAGGCGGCCCTTGATCCCCTTGACGGAGATGATGTACAGGTTCTTGGCACCTGCAGAGAGAAACACCGATTTGTGAGACACCAGCGGTACTTCCCGGGCTGTCCCCTTGTCAAATCACCCACTGGAGTGAGGGGCACAAGCCACCGCTTCACCCACAAGCGA